ATAGGCCCCTAGACTACATTATTTACTTACGATATTTCGCCTCTTGGTCCCAATAAAACGCATTTAAAGGAGCTAAATCGCTATTGGGGCCTAGAAATTGACACAAATTCAAATGGGTCGCAATTAACGCATACAATAATGTATGTAATGTGAATGTACATAAACTGATTGACATTCAACCGTTTCTGTTTTTACTGTAATTTCTAATCAGTTATGTTCCGCGAAATACGCCAGAAGTCTCAATTGTATGGCAATCTTTAGCGTCTACACCGATGATATTTATTGCGCTTGCTCTCCAGATAAGAATATAGCGTCACCATTTGACATGACTTGTGGAATAGTGTAGCCGCGTTCTTTGAGTCCCTTGTTCCAAATGGCGCTGAAACGCATTATGATACACAATTCGTGTACTAATGGTAAAATGTTTATTTTGTATTGAATATTGGATATCAGAAGCCCATCTTTTCCCTGTAAGATCACAAGACCAATGTTGATTTGAATTGACAAATTATTCGTGTCTTCAATGTCGAAGATTTTTGATGATATTGGGTTAGACTTAGAGCACTGATCTATATATAACTTAGCTACTTTAAATTTGGGTTAGTCGTGTTCCACGTTGGTCAAAAATAAACTCCGGGTGGTTACTAACTATGTCGTAACGTTACGGCCTTCGTGGATATGATTATTTATCACTAACCGATTTCAAATTAGGTTTGATATAGTTACATTTATGTGTGTGGAATAATACTGCGTAAGTTCTGGTCACTTGTGTTAGGTTGGGGGCCCCTAGCTACGAATAGGCCTAGACTGATGTGCCTCAAGTTCAGGCTACATTGGGTGTCAACATAATGCAAACTCAATTTCTTTATTAATGCATGTAACATCTTAAAAATAAGGTAATTTTATACTTACAGAAGCCAATGTAGTGGCACAGCTATCGTCGTACTACAAATATTCGCGTTTAAATTAATGAAGCGTTGTTTTTATCCAACATACAATACACCGCCATCGAAGTCCATTCACAGAGTAAAGGTTGCATATCGTTGTACAATCTGAAACTGATTTTTCTATTAAAGCCAATAATGCTTCCTGGTATGTAAATGTTAGTTATTAGTTTATTATGTATCGGACAAAAAGATATCAACGAAAACAGAAAGTCCATAACAGTTTTCATTGTCTATCCATTGTGTCTATTATTCTCTTAGAAGTTCAAAAACAAATTTCACAGGACTAAACATTAACATTAGATATTATTAATAGATTTTATGAAATTATTGTAAAACATGTGAACATGAAGGCATTAAAGTATATCTATGTAAATCCGTCATGTAAGTTACAGAGGGATAAGCAAAGTTTCGCGCAACAGTAGGCCCACATATAATTACTTAAGTTTGACATGAAATATTGATTAGCACATTTCTGCTTTGTAAAAATGTATTGAATGTAAGAAACAACTGTAAAAGACTCCTTTTTAAGATAAGACAATCCTTTAAAGGTAGCAAAAGCACCATTTTAGCCTCTGCATCACCTAGGTCAAATTGTAACGTATTTCAAACGTATGGTAGAATTAACAAGGGGTGTTCTAGAATCAGAATTAATTTATTTTTTGGTCATGATGGACCACTAATAATCCACCATCAGATTTTCCGAACTACTTACAATCATCTTACCAATAAACTTACTACTGTCAAGTCAAATATTAATATAGTTAAAAACATTATACGCTTTAAAGGGTCCAAACTCTGGAATTCGTTGTCAGCCTCTTTAAAAACTTTAAATAACCTGAATCTTTCCAGGAAAAAAATTCTTTTTTTTTTACCTTAAATCTACTTCAAATACCTTATCTTAAAACCCTATAAGCCTATCTCTTGTGTTCTCCATATTATAAGCATGTACATATTGTATATTTGTTATTACATGTTATATCTATATGTATTCAAACGTTTTGTTATATGACCCGCATATACATGTACACACTTAAATTAATCTTTTAATTGATTTGTATATTTATTTTTTTTTTCTCTGTTGTAAATTATTGTGATGTGTTGTTTAATTTATTAGCTATATCTTTTGTATTATAAATTCTACAAGGGCAGGATGTTAGAAAGGCTGTCATAGCCTAATCTTCAACCCTTCTTAAATAAAGTCATTATTATTATTATTATTATTATTAATATAGAACCGCCGCTAACAGCCACCATACAAACGGCTTTAGATGATAAAGCATGACGTCATTGATAACAATAATAATGACATCACGAATCTTTATCATCTCTAGGCTCAGTGTTTTTAGATTGGTTACCGTTTGTTTCTAATACTATTATTTTCCTAGTCATTTTCAAGGATGAGCGGATGGGATGCCTGGTCTCAACAATTATTAACTAGAAAAATAGAGGGTGTTACACACCATAGTGCCCAAGATATGTAAAGTTTATAACTAGACTGTGAAACTGGATAAGCACTCGATTGTGTTAATTCTGAAAGCTAGAAAATTATGAGAGAAGAAGGTATTATTAGACTTAAATCTGGACGAGGGACACAGTAAATATATTCCTCTAATAAACTGAACCCAATAAATGGGAAATATATCCTCAGACTGTGGAGTTGGGTAAGAGCTGAAAGTCAAAGATATGTATGATGTGTAATTAGACTGTGAAAACCTGATGAGCGCTGAAATAGAAATAAAGTATTAGAATCAATCTATAAGTTGGTCATAAGCCCTTGGTATAAATAGTCCGACATCACGGTTTAACTTGGGCTTGATGCGTTTTATATTGATGGCCTCAAGAAGTTTTCTGGTTTTCTTCTGGTGATGATGTACTGTAAGGGTTCTTGTTTGGTCCCACAAGATTGTCTGATGTTCGTTGTTAATAATGTGCTCTGCTACGGCTGAGGGATTGGTGGAAGCTAGTGACTTGTGCTCTTTTATTCGAAAATCAAGCGGGCGCTTAGTTTCCCCTACATACTGTTCGGAGCAGGAGCATGTTATCTCGTAGATACATCCTTTGGGCTGTGGGGGATTGGTTTGTGTTGATCTACCATTAGCTTGCAGTAAATTCTGTATGGTTCTGCCACTAGAGAAGGTAACGTCTATGCCCACTTCTTGTTTCATCAACCTTTTGATCTGGTAAGAGATTTTGCCGTGAAACGGGATGGTTATTCTGATGACGAAGTGGTCAGTATTTGGCGTTCTTGGCTTGTATTGGTTCTCTATGGTGGTGGTGATGACGTCATTGACTAGTTGGGTGGGGCAATTGTTAAAATTTATGAAGACGTTCCTTAAATGCTCTAATTCCTCGGGTAAACTTTCTTCATCACATATCTTGGTGGCGCGTCTGGTTAGAGTGGTGATGATGGATTTCTTTATTTGATGTGAATGATTTGAATTATAGTGAATCTATTGATCAGTGTGAGTTGGTTTCCTATAAACAGCAGTGGAGATATTGTTGTCAGATTTAGTCACTAACACATCAAGAAATGGGAGACTGTCATCCGTTTCTGTTTCCATTGTGAATTTTATCCTCGTTTGTCGACTGTTCAGATGTTGGAGTAGCGTATCTGGGTTGTCGTTTTGATTGAGGACCACAAATACATCATCGACTTTACGATACCAAGAAAGGGGTTTGATGGGGGAAGTCTGTAATGCCTCAGTTTCGAACCTGGTCATGAATACTTCGGACAGTAGTGGCGAAAGTGGGTTACCCATGGGCAGGCCATGTGTTTGTTGATAATATTCATCCCCCCATTTAAAGTAAGTGGCAGTTATACAGAGACGTAAAAGTTGAATGATATTATCAGTGGTTAGGTTGGTGTCCAGTGGGGTCTCTAATTCATTGATTTTCTTTTTAAGTATTTGGAGTGTCTGAGCTGTGGGGATATTAGTGAACAGGTCTACTACATCATAGGAAAGAATGGTGCCGGTTGATGGGACGGATGCCAGTTTATGGCAAAAGTCGCTGGAGTCGGCAATGAAGGACTAAAAGACGGTTAAGAATTTTGCTGTATTGTAATATACTGACTCTCGGGAACAAACCAATAAGCGAGCCTTAACCGGGTTCTTGTGAATCTTGATGGTGGCTCGTGCATATGGTGGTCTGGGGTGAGAGGGATTCAGATTATAGTAAAGTGCTGGTGTGATCTGCTTATTGTCTTTCAATGATGTGAGAAATTTTCGCAGCCTGGTTTCATGGGTGGCTGTGGGATCTTTCCTGATTCTTTGGTAGGTTTTGGTGTCTTGAAGTAGGTTGTTCACAGTATCCACATAGTCATTGGTGTCCATAATCACAGTAGCTTTACCTTTGTCAGCAGGGATGATGGTGATATTGGAGTCTGCTTTCAATTCTTTTAGCGCTAGCTGCTGGGATTTGGATAGGTTATTGGTTTGAGGTTTGGTTTTCAAAAGTATATTCGAGATCTGATGCCTAACATAATCCACCTTGCCACCTGGTGCTAGTTGACGTATTCGTGATGTAATCGTCATGATTCTTCGGTCTAGAAACAGGAATGAATTTTAGGCCTTTGGATAATAAGGTGATTTGGTCATTGGTGATACATTGCTATTACTTATAAATATTTATACTATAAAAATTTATTTATTTATTTTTTTATTTATTTACTCATTTTAATATATGCACTTACTATGTATTACTTATTATAATACTTAGACCCTGGCTCTAAACAATAGATGTGGGAAAGTGAGGTGTCTCCGTCGAAACATCGCTCAGTCATAAGCAGAAACTGTATTCCATAGACTTGTGGCCAGTATATAAGAACACTGAATAAAGAGCTCTTTTGTCTTCCATGTGTTGTAGGATATCTAGAACATGCTCTAGGCTAAAACAAAATGCCATGTCATGGTCCTACACCAGATTACCTATGAGACTGAGACGAGTGGACAATAGCTACGAGAACGTAGGTAAAAACGTTGAGCGGAGGCTAATGTCCACCCGCGATCGACACATTGGCTTCTTTATGAAATTGTATGCTTTTTTCTTCTGCAGATAAATCCACAGTCTTTCAAAAAGGTTGACGATGCCATAGCAAAAGGGGCCGCAGCTGTCAGTAAACTAGAATTTGGCGATAAAAGGTTCTTTGTATTGAAAAAGGGGCGGGTTGTACGATTGCAAGGGGCAAGTCGTGTAAGTATAATAATTATAATAACATAGATTCTTCGGAATGTTTCGATTTGGTTTTTATACACCCACATTGAAATGTGGTGGTATATTGTCGTCGCCCCCGTCCATCGTTCCGTCGGTCTGGCGTCCACAATTGCTTGTGTACGCTCTAGAGGCTAAAGTTAATCTCTGATTGACTTTAAATTTATACACAGTGTTAAAGGTCATGAGACAAAAAACCCTATTGATAATTACTGCCAGGGTTATGGCCCTTGATCACTTTGATATATCTTGTGACGCTCTAATATTCGATTGACTTTAGATTTATACACAGTGTTTAAGGTCATGAGCAAAGAAGTCTATTGATTTTCAACGATTTCCGAAAATTACTGCCAGTGTTATGGCCCTTGATTACTTTGAAAATTATTGGCGACGCTCTAAAAGCTGAAGTTAATATTCGATTGACTTTAAATTTATACACAGTGTTTAAGGTTATAAGACGAAGAAGCCTATTGATTTTTGATAATTACTGCCAGAGTTACGACTCTTGATCACTTTGAAAAATCTTGTGGATGTTCCAGAGTCCAAAGTTATCATCCGATAACCTATAGATTTTCAAGGATTTCCGATAATTACTGCCAGAGTTATGAGCCTTGATTACTTCGAAAAAATCTTGCGAATGCTTTACAGGCCAAGCGAGGTACCTGATCATTCGATTGACTTTAGATTGACACATACACAGACTTTAAGGTCTTGAGATGAACAAGTATATTGATTTTCAATTTGAACAGCTAAATCCATGGTATTATATGTTTGTATAATAATAATAATAAATTCTTACCCAAGATGTTTCTTTTTTAATGAACCAGCCAGAGACTCTGGGACAAGGTAAAGTACTCTATTCTCTGTAATGGAATATAGGGCAATGTATGAAATGTATATTTAAAGTGAAATACTTTAAATAGTTGATTTATGTATTTATATATAAAGCTTAGGTTAAATCAATAAATTAGATTAACTTAACCAGATTCCTTAAAGAAAAACAACATGGCCGCCACTTTAAACTCAAACTATTTACACAATGTAATATATATACATGTATAATATATAAAACTAATATTAATACATATAATCCTTGAGTGGCATTTAGCGATTGAACACATTAAAAAACACAACACAGTTTATATGGAAATACAATCACTGGTTCGACAAGTATTCTCTTATCGTTATCAAGCACAAATGATGATTTGTGCTTGATAACGATAAGAGAATACTTGTCGAAACGTCGTGCTATACTTATAAACCAGTGATTGTATTTCCATATAAACTGTGTTGTGTTTTTTTAATAGTAACACATACCTTTAAACTGCAAGTTTCAAATGTTTGGATGATGACAAAGTCAAATACTAGCACAGACACCCAGTTGATGAAAGAAAACATCTGATATACTAATAATTAACTTTAAATATAAAACTTATACCAAGATTGGATGAAATATCCAACCTCACACTTCAAGACTTGAATCAAGATTCTATCTGAAAAGTGAACAGTGTGATTTGACAGAAAAACCCATAAAACCTTTGGGTCAAATGTAAATGAAACATCAGTGAGTAGAGTGAACTTGAACTCACTGGATACCTTTAAGAAGAATTAACAGAATAGGACAGTTTACAGATGCAGTGATGTGTGACATATTACATTAGCATTCTGACCATATTAAAATACCCATAAAATAAATAAAACCACTCTATCACATTAGCATGGTAGAACTAGAAGCCAAACAATTTTTAAGGATTATCTGAAAATCACTTCACGAGTTGTACAAATGTTTCATTACCGACAAACGGAAAAAAAATGCGACAACTCTTGTTGACTGCCCGGACGAGTTAGCTGTTGTGGCCGTATGTTTCGTTGTCTGGCAACCTACCTTTTTCGTTTTCCTCACAATAGTTTATTTGGGGAACAATCTTACCTTTGTCTTCTTATAATCAAAACTCTATCTAAAACATAGTCTACTGAGGCAAAAACAAAATCCAAACACCAACAAACTTTAATATGAACGAGGTAACGATATATAAACTTATAAATGAGGTAACATGTATACAAACTTATGAATGAGGTAACCATTACTTTATAAACGATGTAACATGGGGAAACCATATAGGCCTACAAACTTAAGAATGTGGTAACCATAACTTATAGATGAAGTATCCATAACTTATAAATAAGGTAAAAACAACTTATGAATGGGTAAACACAAACATATGAATGAGGTAAACACAAACAAAACAAAAATCATTCCAAATACACTGCATGTCTTTGCTACCATGAATATGTAGTTTTGTTGTTCAAAATAGGTGAGATTATTCAATAGGGCATAAGGACAAAATCTGTCGAAATTCAGAATCACGAGTTACTTCAACCCACCATCATGAATTAAAAGCTTCTGAGAGAGAGAGAAATGGGGTTTAACGTCCACTCGACACAAACTAGGTCATTTCGGGACTAACATATGGTTTAATTTTATTTCAATAATTCGCTTGCGTGTAGGGGTTTTTAGCTGTGGGAGGAAACCGGAGGACCCAGAGAAAACCCACGAGGTTGGACAGGCGACCCTATTCCTTGTCACGTACAACCGGGGATTCGAAACCACGCCAGTTGACTTAATGACACGTCTTATGATACAGCGCGCACGTGCTAACCATTCGGCCATCCAATCCCCCTCAAAAGCTTCTGAAATAACATGTAACAGTACACGTTGGAATTTCGATTGTAATCTATACTCAGCGTTACTTTGATCTACCCCATTTTGCGTGTTCACTTTTAAACCCGTTCAGAAGGAACTTAGGAAGGATTCCTGTTTATAAGTAGAACAGTTTGCCATATTGCTTTCTCGTCAATCATAAATATTTATTCATTTTAATTCTCTTTTCAGGCTTTGTGTTGGGAATATATGACAATGATCAAGTGCAGCCCTCCAATAATACAAGTCAAGTTTGTTATGTCAGGGACCAACTTATTTCCGCAGGTTATTAACCTAAATATTTATTTATATATTGTTTAAATATAAGTTTTATTATATTATTAGATAATAATTTAAGTGCTGGAGATATTGTTTTATTTTACATTCCAAATCAGTGAGGTGGAAGTCATTTATACTTTCTAGTTCCAAATAACTGTAGCCATTTTGATATATCAGTGTCATTTATTGTATAACTTATACATTCTAGTTCCAAATGACTGTAACTATTTTGATATATCAGTGTCATTTATTGTATAACTTATACATTCTAGTTCCAAATTACTGTAACCATTTTGATATATCAGTGTCATTTATTGTAATAACTTATTCTATTGGCAGAGTAAATGAAATTATTTTTTTTTATTGTACATTTGACAACAATATCATTTACTTCAGAATCTCGTATGTATGTTTTTCAAATGTTAGTTTTACAATAGAAAACTGCTGTTTTATCAAAAAACATTTTAATAATCAAAGGGAGTATAAGATATAACATGTTAATCTATGAAATTAACTTTACCCAAAGTAGGTGACCGTCAATATATTCTTCAATGTACATGTATGAGATTAATGTTGCTATTAAGCTTGCCATATAATGTTCCAGACCCTTTACGTATGTTTTATGTATTTAATAATTTATGTGTGCTTTAATCTTATTATAACGAGTTTATTTATTTCTATTTTTCAAATCCAAAATTTATTTAGGTTTGTATTTAGTAAACCTAAATATTTATTAGTTCATATCGTATGTATATAAATGAAACAAAATTTATTGTTTACGTTCTGATCAAGTTACGCCTCCATTTACAAATAAATTACTAAATAAAAATCACTTTGTTTTTTTGTTAGTTTCTGTATATTAAATCTGGAATCTAATGAAATTTGGTCATTTTCCTAGGGACAGCTGTGGTAGCTGAATATAAAGACTGTATATTATGAATAGGCCCACTTCATTAGTATTTTTACTGCATAGTATAAAAACTATTGTTCTTGTTCAGATTATTATTTTTTATACTGTTTTTGTTTGGATTATTATTTTTTTTTTTTTCCATCGCGTTTTTGGAAAAAGTACATATTCTACAGAATTAAAATTAAACTCTATACTATCCGAAAGCTAATTAGTTTAAAACTTTAAAAACGATAACAGGGAGTGACGTCATCGACGAAAATAGACTAATATTAGACATCAAAGGAAACTTTTTTGTTTTCCAACCAATTTGAATGCAGTTTTCACCAATTTGTAGCTGTTCGTATTTCTCAGTTTTTATGTTGGGGGGCATTGTGGCCTCTACGACGCACGCGTATGGCCTAATTTTAAGCTCAAAAGTGAAAAGAGTGAAAATTCTGAGCGTAACTTTTTTATTTTTGAAGATTTCGGCTTGAAAATTTCAGAATACATTACAAATGGGTAGATTAAGGCAAAAATGTCAACATAATTTTTCCAATTATCTCCCCCTTTTTAACTTCTTAAATTTTTCCTTATTTTAAAATATTGCCACCAATCTTTAAAATCCCACTCGTGCTACAAATTTTATTCAATTTTCAATATCGTTATATTTTTGGAAAGCATTCACAATTCGCAATCGATCGTGGCACGTTTAGAAGTTTGATATTTGACTAAGATTTTTTAAAGTGCCGTTTAAAGTGGTTTTTTTAAAATAGTATAAGACTTTGAAATCAATAAAATGTCAATGGCAAACGATAAATTGAGTCATTCTACTGATGCGACTTGAAATATGTCATTAGAAACTTTCTAAATAATCTCCCCTTGGAAAAATTAAGGATAAGGATCAAAGTTTTAAAACAAATCGACAAAATTTAGGTCAGATTGCCTTGATTTTTATTCTGTACTAGCTAAGAAATTACTGATGCGTACACAAATTATGAAGTCTTTTGATCGAACCGGAAGTGCCACCATCTTTAAATGTGAAAAATCCCTAAGGCTTTTGCGATAATTTACTTACAGTACAGACATGGGAGTTATATTTTCTGAATCCTTGAAGGAATGTCTAAAAAACGTTCAGAGCAGAATTTTGATTTAGGTCAACTGATGGTCACCATTTTGAATTGAATATGAAATATAGCAAAAATCTACATTAACGGGCTTGTAAATAAACACAATAAGTCGTAGTTTGAATTCGTCTCCTATTTCTGAAATTAATACATTTCTGGATAGGCGGATTCATTGTCGAATTTTGGGTGTTTGAAAAATTCAAAATTTCGAAATTCCGCTTTAACGTTTTTCGTTCCTACAAAGTTATTTACGAGTGAAAAATCCGCATTAACGTCTTGGAAATGCTTGGAATAGGCGGTCATTTCGTAAATTCGTTTCAGATTTCCGAAATTAATACATTTCTCGTTAGCCTCCTTCCAAGAATGGTTGATGGCTTTGTAATCAAGATATTTTCAAAACGTTTTACGAATCCGAAATCACCGAAATTTACTAATGAAAAAATGACACACATAGCTGTACTTTTGTGACTTTTTGATCTATTTTACTAATTATTTTTCCTTTGAGTACTTTGCAACATTTACTTTTAATTTGCTATTTCCGATTTTCGAAATCCGAATATTACATCATTGACATCTCATCCCTGAAGTAAAACCAACATGACCACTTTGAGAAATTAAGGATCAAAGTTTTCAAAAAAGTCGACAAAATAGTAGGTTAGATGACCTTAAGAAATTACTGATGCGTACACATAATATGGAGTTTGTCTTGAAACGTGAAAAATCCCCGAGCCTTCTGCGATATTTTACTAACAGACATCGGATTTACATTTTCTGAATCCTTGAAGGAATGCCGCTAAACATTCGGAGCAGAATATTGACTAAGGTTAACTGGGGGTCACCATTTTGTACTGAATATGAAAAAAGTGAAAAATCCACATTAACGGGCGTTGAAATGATTACCCTGACAACCTAGTTAATAATTCAAATCTCTTTAAGATTGTTGACAAAATCTATAACATCTGATGGGAAGTGATGCCTGGTCGTTATAACCCGGGCAGTTTTGGACCGATTTAATTCTTAACAAATAACGACAAATTTTTCCCGGTTGAAATGTTTGTCGTTGTAACTCAGCGAGTTTTTTTGCCGATTTCAATAATTCTTTTTCCGTTTTGATATTCTTTATATAACCCATGTCATTTGACAGGATGTGACCGTGAATATGAAAGCTTTCATATCTGCCTGGCAGATCTAGTTATTTATTTTTTTTAGTCAGAAGTTGCAGCCCAAACTGTGCATGGTGCAAAAATTCTACCAACGTAGGCGAAGTTGGCCACCGTGGAACTAAATATTAAATATAAATTTGGACATTTTTGACAAACAGGAAGTGCTTTGCGGATAGGACAATAAATAATCTCAGATTGCCCGACGTGACATACTGAAACACGTTAGTACTCCTTAGGAGTTCTAGTTGCAAGTCACAAATTACCTTTATTAGACGGCCGAAAACGCGGTTTCCTACTCATCCAGAAAGTGGTCCAATATAACCGTATTTATATATGGTTTTGCACCGACGAGAGTGGAGAAAAATAACGACCATGCCGGAAAATAATTATGTAGTTCTGGGTAGCACCAGAAGCTGTTTATTACACTGATTTTAAATGTTTTAAATTTTAATCTATTACATTCAAAAACAAAAAAATATTGATTCCCGAAAAAATGATGAACATAAAATATTCCTACTAATGAGTCGTTAGATATTAGGCTAATTTTTTTCATCATTTTTTCAGGATTCGTTATTTCTTTTAAATTTTAAAATTAGTCCCTGCAAAAGAATTACCAGGCCCATTCCACGATTCTAAACAATAAATCTGCTCTAGTCTACCGTGAAACCCCTTTCGCTCGAGTGAACTGCAAAGACAACTCTGCTCGGGAGAATTTGTTAAAGATACATTATGGGAGATTTTTTATAGAGAGTTGGCCATTCTTCCTATAACAGTTCAAAAGTAGACAATGAAAAAAGTATATATTGAAAATTTCAGTCAAATTACTTTATTCTGAACAAAGTTATCATCGTTGTAATATTTTACTAGAAATGGTAATCAAATGTATCTTCTCCTTGGCCGACCGTTTGATTGACAGGCGTTAACTCCACCTACATAATCTCGATTATCAAGTAACGTTTTCAATGGCTTGAGACCGGGTTGCAGTTCAATTCGTATCACATTTATTTTTACTATAAAAATAAGACTTTTATTATATAGATAAGAAGCGAAAGTTTGAAAGGAATGGACCAAATCAATAAGGCATAATTATAGCCGACTTCTTGTTAGCCTGCGTGACTCCCGAAGCAGATAAATAAATAGGAAACACCACAGTGATCCAATGGGGCTTCAATTCAACTGGGGTGATGTTAGCTGCGATGTTTATCAATTTCCATAATTTTTCTGTAAACGCAACTGAACCACAACTGAACATAATACCAAGGCCGTATATATCGAACTTTCAATCAAATTGACTGACATGCGGCATCGCTCAACAGCGGCCTCGCTTCGTACACTCTATCATTTAGCCTCGATCTAACTGATGACGTCAACGTAACGGTTAATAATCTCCGCATGGGGCGCCATTTATGATTTAATCAATCAGTGAAATCCTATTTAAATCCAAGCTGTAGCCGAGCCATCCGTGGGTCTACAGAGTTGATTTTGGGCTTGTTGTTTAAATAAAGATCTAATTTATAATTTCTATAACATCTGAAGCCTAAATTAAGACTTGCAATACTCAGATTTAACTCTTGCATAATGTATGTTTTAGTTTCTTGACCTCTGACGTCAGGCGGAATTGACGTCGAAGAATCGGCGCAAACATAACATAGAACTAGAATCTATTCTAGTTGTATGGTGTATAAGCTTTTACTAGGGAATGAAAGCAAAATGCAAAAAATAATATCTTGATTAGGAATAGGTAGGAGCAGGACCGGATTAACAAGGTGACATGGTGGGGCCCAGGGCCTCCGACATCAGGGTGTCCCGCACAAAAAATCCCAGTTGCGGGAAAAGCGATGTGTGACTCAGACTGTTAGTATAAAGTAAGCATGACTGGACCGAGGACTAAGGCCTACTGGACTACATCTGCTAGTGGCAATGATGGGGCCCTCCGAGGCCCTCCATCGGATTTTCAAAGTTTTGAACGGAAAATCTGTCAAAAATATACGTTTATTGTCATTGATAATCTCCAAACATAGTTTTTCCTTTTTGCTGTCGGTGAACATTGGTTTAGGCCTTAGGCCTAAATATGCCTATTTATTTGATATGTCACATTATGTGGGTGTGTATAATAATATGTGTAATTTCTGTATAGGCCCCTAGACTACATTATTTACTTACGATATTTCGCCTCTTGGTCCCAATAAAACGCATTTAAAGGAGCTAAATTGCTATTGGGGCCTAGAAATTGACACAAATTCAAATGGGTCGCAATTAACGCATATAATAATGTATGTAATGTGAATGTATATAAACTGATTGACATTCAACCGTTTCTGTTTTTACTGTAATTTCTAATCAGTTATGTTTCGCGAAATACGCCAGAAGTCTCAATTGAATGGCAATCTTTAGCGTCTACACCGATGATATTTATTGCGCGTGCTCTCCAGATAAGAATATAGCGTCACCATTTGACATGACTTGTGGAATAGTCTAGCCGTGTTCTTTGAGTCCCTTGTTCCAAATGGCGCTGAAACGCATTATGATACACGATTCGTGTACTAATGGTAAAATGTTTATTTTGTCTTGAATATTGGATATCAGAAGCCCATCTTTTCCCTGTAAGATCACAAGACCAATGTTGATTTGAATTGACAAATTATTCGTGTCTTCAATGCCGAAGATTTTTGATGATATTGGGTTAGACTTAGAGCACTGATCTATATATAACTTAGCGACTTTAAATTTGGGTTAGTCGTGTTCCACGTTGGTCAAAAATAAACTCCGGGTGGTTACTAACTATGTCGTAACGTTACGGCCTTCGTGGATATGATTATTTATCACTAACCGATTTCAAATTAGGTTTGATATAGTTACATTTATGTGTGTGAAATAATACTGCGTAAGTTCTGGTCACTTGTGTTAGGTTGGGGGCCCCTAGCTACGAATAGGCCTAGACTGATGTGCCTCAAGTTCAGGCTACATTGGGTGTCAACATAATGCAAACTCAATTTCTTTATTAATGCATGTAACATCTTAAAAATAAGATAATTTTATACTTACAGAAGCCAATGTAGTGGCACAGCTATCGTCGTACTACAAATATTCGCGTTTAAATTAATGAAGCGTTGTTTTTATCCAACATACAATACACCGCCATCGAAGTCCATTCACAGAGTAAAGGTTGCATATCGTTGTACAATCTGAAATTGATTTTTCTATTAAAGCCAATAATGCTTCCTGGTATGTAAATGTTAGTTATTAGTTTATTATTAATAGATTTTTTTATGAAATTATTGTAAAACACGTGAACATGAAGGCATTAAAGTATATCTATGTAAATCCGTCATGTAAGTTACAGAGCGATAATGAAATATTGATTAGCACATTTCTGCGTTGCAAAAATGTATTGAATGTAAGAAACAACTGTAAAAGACTCCTTTTAAAGATAAGACAATCCTTTAAAGGTAGCAAATACACCATTTTAGCCTCTGCAACACCTAGGTCAAATTGCAACGTATTTCAAACGTATGGTAGAATTAAACAGGGGGTGTTCTAGAATCAGAATTAATTTATTTTTTGGTCATGATGGACCACTAATAATCCACCATCAGATTTTCCGAACACTGTCAACTGTGTGGGGTGCATTATAAGTGGCAAACATCAATATTTCGAAACAATGTAGGAATTTTACTAAAGTAACGTTATTTCAGAGGTTGATAGTTGTCAGCGGAAATTCTTGTATTTCAAAGATAACTATGCATATTAGCCTTTGATGAAAACTTTTGAAATATGGGGGGTATAACCACAGAGTAATAATTTATGTTGCTTCTACGCGTCTATTGGCGTATGACGTATCGGGTGTGACGTCAGAGGTCAAGACAAGTTGACAAATTCTCTCGAGCAGAGTTGTCTTCGCAGTGCACGTGTGGACGTATTATGTTGTCACCCCTGTCCGTGGGTACGTGTGCCTGGTCACATTTGTTTGTGGACACTCTACAGGTCACAATGTTCATCCAATTCGTATGAAACTTGATGAGTTCGATTTTGGTGGGTAGCGGACTAGCTGTAACGTCACTGATTACTGTCCCTGATTGTACGCAAAATGGCCGTTTTAGCTTGTGGAACCTCTAGCCCTAGGGTCACAATTTCTGTCCGATTTTGATGAAACTTCAAAGATATGTTTATGGACGGGGGTCAGGCAAAAGTTTTATCTGAGTCGGACGAAAATTATGACCTCAGGGGATCCACAAACTTTGTACTTACTTTACATTTGGCGTAAACTCCGGAACGGAAGATTAGATGTGCACCAAAATGTAATTTAAAATATAGCCTCTTCCGTGTTATCAAGGTTTTCGGAAAATGGGGCATAACTCTGCACCATTGTGTGAAGCATTGTGGTAATGAGAGGACAAACCCTTCGATATTCAGTGTTCCGTGACTTTCCGCTCTGGAGTTATTCCACCTTTGCCGAAAACCTTTCGAAATCGACAGAAACCAGATAAGTTTATGTTGTGATATGAGGCTATGCTGGCAACACTGTTATTAACGTCGATGTGTATATTAAATAATACCCAACTAACCCTCGGTTCGGTATTTGAAATATCCCTCAACCTCCGGCCAAGGGTATTATTTACTACCTATTCCACACACATAATACAGCATCCCAGGGGCGGTCCATAATTTTAGCAGAAGGGTCCAGAAATTTCAGATTTCTATAGAAGTGCTGTTGTCTTTTCGGACTTTTGTAGGCTTCCGACCCCTCTGATCTGGAAAGGGGGTGGCCCAGCGGTCTCAATGCAGCTCGATACCGATACTTCGTTAAAAATAAAATGCATATTCTGTTTTCTCCCTGATAGGAATCTGGACCAAAAATATTATCCCTCGTCGACCTTTTCTGCTGTCTCGGTTACTGTCAGTCAGTCACTACCCGGACTCACACTGTCTGTCGCCAAAGTCGCAAATTCCGATAAAAAAAATAAAAAAAATGAGTGGCGATTAAAATTTGTGATTTTGGCATTAATGTTTTGGGGTACTTACCATTCTTTTTTGAGATGTGGCGGGAACAAAAATCTTAAAAAATTCTAATCGTCTAGATTGACCATTACGATGAGTGTTAATCACATATTTGAGCACACATATAGCAACATAATACAATAAAACTAGTTTGTGATATAAGTGTATTAAAAAACTATGGTGACGGAATACTATCAACAATTTGTTTTTGTTAGAAATTTAAGGATATCACTTGTGGACACAAGTATTAGCAACACATTACATTACAAACAAGTAGGTCTTGATATTAGAAATATATAGTAAACTTTTTCCCTCTGTAATATATCTTGGCTTATAAAATTAATGATACTAACCATATGATATGCTTGAATCACACGCAATCATATTAACTAAATACTATTAAAATCAAAATTATCAACAACAAAAAAAAAAAAGAAAAAAAAAGTCCATGTAAAGAAAGTTACTTTTGACACCAGCGAATTTAGAACTTAATTTAAATAACGATTCTTGCGAAAAATAGGAATACTTAACAAACACCATCGGCCACAGTAAATTATAAATAGGCTAATATTGAAAATTAAACGAATGTAACTGTATTTTTGTATGTATAAATATGTTTACTTTATACTAATATTATATGTATATTGCTACTATTGTATTTTGCTTATATTTTTCATAATGTAGAAATTATTTTTCAGACACTGAAATCTATTGAGAAAAAAACACCCCCCCCCCCCCCCCGACTTCCTCATAATAGTCAAAAATATAAACGGAAAGAAGAAGATTTAAGGACAATAGTTAAAACACTATTATCAATATCTGCAGTTACACTGGTATAACCAGGTCCCAAAGTTAAACCACTTACATGTGTAGCTTAGGTACAGGTTAAAAAGTATGGACGGAATTAAGAGTATTTAAGGACAATATAGCTTCGTCTACACTAGGCTTGAAAAAGCCGGCTTTTTAAAAACCCGGTTTTTTCAAAACCCGGCTTTTTCAAGTGTAGCGTCTACACTGACTGAACGGAAAAAGACGATGAACACCGACGTATTCCTTCTTGAGCCGTTTTAACTTGCTTTTGACCTGTTCGGTGGACCGAGAGAAGCCAGCTTCGGCTAATTCAGCGCATATAACCCTGTAAATTTTATTGTCTTTGACAGTTCCATCAAACAAAGCTTGAATTGAATGTTCCCCCGCCCCCAAATCTCAATTAGCAATAAGAACTCCTCGTTAACCCATTTTAGGTTAGGCATGTTGAAATTAAATAGGCTAGGCTATAGATGGATTTGAGATTTACCGCAATTTCTTAGAACCGGAAGCAATGCCAATGTTATGAATGTACGGAAGCTCGGGACGAATGACATCCGGGTACTTGATAAATCCCGGATTTACCGTCTACACACATAAAATTGCCGGTTTTTTGAAAAAGCCGGCTTTTTGATTTTGAAAAATCCCTAAATAATTGCCGGATTTTAAAAAGCCGGCTTTTACGATTGAGAAATTGAAAAAGCCGGCTTTTAGGAAAAAACCGGGATTTAAAAGGCTAGTGTAGACGGTGAATGCTGCTAATGTAGACGTAGCTTATCTGTAAAAATGTTGTATTATAATTATAATACAGGTTAAAAAGTATGGACGGAATTAAGAGTATTTAAGCACAATATCTGTAAAAATGTTGTATTATAATTATAATCAACTAAAAATTATTAACATATCGAGGGTATAGAACATAATTGTTAAAAGTCAAAAATAACATTTATTTTATTTTTTAGAAACGAAGAGCATGTAATTCTCATTGATGCAGATATCATCATCCTTACTCATTTCCAAATATCTTAAAATCACCCAATTTAAAAGGGTGGGGGTGGGGTGCGATTTACCCAATACTACCCAATACTAGCCAATACCACCTCAATATCACCACATACTACCCAATACTACACAACATAATGCTGCTAAATGCCATGGGCATATTATTTTTTTTCAAGAATAGTGAGTAATATCGCGAGTTATATTGCGATTACCGATGTCTGGTTGTACCATTTGCCTTCCTATATACCACCCAAAACATACAAATAATAATCTAATACTACCGAATACTAATATCAAATACTACCCAATATTATCAAATCACAACATAATATCGTCAAATAACACCACATCAGTATAATGACTGCAACGAATATTCGATAATTTTTATAAAATTGAAATATTTACACAGTTATCTCCCTTTATAACCGAGATTTTTTACTCCGGTTAGTCACAGCTGTAGACTCATTCACTATTCTTCGAATGATGTCACTATTGAACAAATTTTCCGGTACATATCCACGGGCGATTACCACCTAAATGAATAAACGCTACCCCCGGTTTCCTACCACTGCAAAAAACCTCTGCGGGCAGGCGAATTATTGACATAAAATTGAACCATATGTTAGTCCCGAAATGACCTCGTTTAATGTGAGTGGACGTCTGTCTGTCTGTCTGTCTCTGAAACAAAATTGAACCATATGTTAGTCTCTGAAATAAAATTCTCTCTCTCTCTCTCTCTCTCTCGTCAGGAAATGAAATGGGGTTTAATGTTCTACTTCGAATAGGTTAATGAAGACGGTTATTTCGTCGGGAAAATGACTTGTTTAAAAACGAAAAGTACTCATTCTTACTGTTCAAAATCCTACATTTCAAATTTTTGAAATTTGAACAAAATATCTTTTACGTGATTCAAGTGACTATTTATTTATCAAGAACTCTAAGAGCAGAAAAAAACCCAAATTGGTGTGACATTCTAGAAGAAGCATGCGTGGTTTCTCTGATTTATTGTTGGGTGGCCGAATGGTTAACGCGTGAGCGCTGTATCATAATGTCTGTCATTGAGTCAAGTGGCGTGGTTTCCATTCCCCCTTGTACGTGACAAGGAGTAGGGTCGTCTGTCCAACCTCGTGGGTTTTCTCCGGGTCCTCCAGTTCCCTGCCACTGCTACAGACCCCTATGCGCAAGCTAATTATTGAAATAGAATTAGTCCCAAAATAACCTGGTTTGTGTCGAGTGGACATTAAGCACCATCCCTCTCTCTCTCTCTCTCTCTCTCTCTCTCTCTCTCTCTGATTCAAAAGTTTAATTTGCAATTTTCTCAAAATCAGAAATTTTGACTTATCACAATTGTCTTCTAAACCCTCGATATATAGCCAAAAAACATTATACATAGGCATACTAAAGGTCTAAATTATGTGTAAAAATTTAATATTCATCTTCTTCTCCAGGATCGTCATCTCCGTCAACCCCAACTTCTTCATAATCTTTTTCCAGAGCAGCCAAATCCTCTCTGGCTTCAGAGAATTCTCCTTCTTCCATACCTTCACCAACATACCAGTGGACAAAGGCTCTCTTTGCATACATCAGATCAAATTTATGATCCAGGCGAGCCCAGGCTTCAGCAATCGCTGTGGTGTTGCTCAACATTGAAACTGCTCTCTGAACCTTGGCTAAATCACCTCCTGGTACAACAGTTGGTGGTTGGTAGTTGATACCCACTTTAAAACCTGTTGGACACCAGTCCACAAACTGGATGGTTCTCTTGGTTTTAATGGTAGCAATGGCCGCATTAACATCTTTAGGTACAACGTCTCCGCGGTACAACATACAACAAGCCATGTACTTTCCATGACGAGGGTCACATTTTACCATCTGATTTGCAGGTTCAAAACAAGCGTTGGTTATTTCTGCAACGGTCATTTGCTCATGATAAGCCTTTTCAGCAGATATTACTGGTGCGTAGGTAGCAAGGGGGAAATGTATCCGAGGATATGGTACTAAATTGGTCTGGAATTCAGTTAAGTCAACATTCAGCGCGCCATCAAATCTGAGAGAAGCAGTAATAGAGCTGACAATCTGGCCAATCAAACGATTCAGATTTGTGTAGGTGGGTCGCCCAATATCTAAATTACGACGACAGATGTCGTAAATAGCTTCATTGTCTACCATAAAGGCAACGTCTGAATGCTCCAATGATGTATGGGTTGTTAGGATAGCGTTGTAGGGCTCAACCACTGCAGTGGCAATCTGCGGAGCTGGGTATATGGCAAATTCCAGTTGAGATTTCTTACCATACTCCACACCAAGTCTCTCCAGAAGCAGGGATGTAAAACCAGAACCGGTTCCTCCACCGAAACTATGGAACACGAGGAAACCCTGGAGACCAGTACACTGATCCGATAGCCGTCGAATTCGATCCAAGACCAGATCAACGACTTCCTTGCCGACGGTGTAGTGACCTCGAGCGTAGTTATTGGCTGCATCTTCTTTACCAGTGATGAGTTGATCGGGGTGGAACAGTTGACGGTATGTACCAGTTCGTACTTCATCTGAAATAGAAAATGTATCACATTGTCTGTGTTTTGTCCTGATCGCAGCTTCCGGGTTTATGATTAACTGATATCTGGTATGTCGTGTGACCCGTCTGTCCTTACTAACGGGGACGGGGGGTGTTCGGCGGAATGGTTAACGAGTGGTTGCATCATTAGCGCTGTCACGTACAACCCGGGTATCGAAACTACGCCAGTTGACTTAGTGACAGACCTTATGATACAACCCGCAAGCGCTAACCATTCGGCGTCAATCAGTTCTGGTGAAGCAGTTCGTATACCCGGGTCCATTTGATATTTGTTGTTTATTGTAATGTCTGTGTAGTTTCTTTCCTGACCCCCGGTTTGTCCACCTGCATTTACTATTACAGATAAAGAAAATACACTCCCATAAAATAAAAGGTTACTTTCGTAAACAAAGTGGAATGTATGTCGTTAAAAGTATGAACGAATAATAGTCATAACAACTAACCGACAACGCTGGGCTCAAGGTCGACGAAGATGGCTCTCGGTACATGTTTACCGGCTCCTGTTTCAGAAAAGAAGGTATTGAAGGAATCGTCACCCCCGCCGATTGTAGTGTCTGATGGCATCTGACCATCAGGCTGGATACCATGTTCTAAACAGTACAACTCCCAACATGCATTGCCCATCTGACATCCGGCCTGGCCAACATGGATAGAAATACACTCACGCTGAAATAATGGAAAAGATAAATATTTAACAAAAGGAGGAGAGAGTAAAAAAGTTAAAGTCACGAAAAGCCACGAATATGCAATCGCTTTCTCAGAAGATGATCTCGAGAGAGTTGTATTTTAGAGGGAACAAACACGAACACACGTGTATTTACCACAGTATAACCCGCCATTTTATTATGAATGAAAAATCGATTTATAATTTAGTCAAAGTATAATGTTTTGCAAAACGAAATTGGACGCGTGCTTCTAAAATTGACAAAGGGTATTATTTTACCACGACTAAAGAGTCATTATTTTACATACTTATAATAACAGAAACGACTTACATGCGTATACTTATGCGTCTTTTGTGGTCCATTAGAGACAATTAGGAACACTAAAACATTTTAAATGTTTCAGAAAAGCCGCAGTTAAAAACGGAAATGAATGAAATGGGATCTAACGTCCTACAGTGTTCTGGGCTAAGACGTTTATACGCCATACAGTGTTATGAGTCAAATTGTGCCCGGACAGCGGCGCTACGTCCTACTCTTTTATCGAATTCCATCTGCTAAGGGATCTTTTACGTGTATGCCAATGTGTAGACGCGACTTCGGTTTTTCGTCCCAGCAGTAAATACTGAGTAGCACATCGTGTTCTAGAGAAATAAGCGCAAGTTCCAGGCATTCTGGTAGATAGGATGGAGTTCTTTAAAGGGGCATTATGGAAGATTAGATAAAGAGCTGACAGTTCTCGCTATAATAGTTTAAAAAAAATAGATAAAGTAAATAGAATATGCAGAAAATTTCAGTCAAACTGCTCCACCATGAACCGAGATATTAGCGATTGAATTTTAGGCCTAGCCTCGATCATCATTACTAAAGTAGGTACGATAAAAAAACAAAGTCTTGATTATCCATTTTGACGTTACATCATCCATCACAAAATATATTCAAATCCAGTTAATATCACAGGCTACCGATGGCATCGAGAGTTAATTATGTTCTGGATAAGTTACTTAATGTCTAGTTAATAATTTAGATATCATTTCAGACCTAAAGAAAGACCTGCAGTAGGCAGATTTAGCTCTTGCAATAAATGGATACAAGAAAAGAAAACTAAAATTAGTTAGCTATGTGAACTCCTCAAACGTGAAGTGGTTATCAGAGTAAGCATTACTGTCTTGTGCGCGACATCGTCACAGATTATAGCAAGCTGGAGACAGGATTTGAACCTAGTCATACTGCGGGGTTGGATGGCCGAATCACGAGGCCTGTCATTGAGTCAACTGGCGTGGTTTCGAATCCCCGGTTGTATGTGACAAGGAGTAGGGTTGACTGTCCAATCTCGTGGGCTTTCTCCGGGTCCTCCGGATTCCTCCCACTGCTAAAGACCCCTACGCGCAAGCGAATTATTGAAATAAAATTAAAACATATGTTAGTCCCGAAATGACCTAGTCTGTGTCACGTGGACGTTAAACCCCCATCTCTCTCTCTCTCTCTCTCTCTCTCTCTCTCTCTCCTAGTCATACTCTGTGTATCGCGGACTACAGAGCATTGGTTAGGATTGGATCATGGCAATCCAATTTGGTACGATAGTACAATAATATGCAGTAACAATTTCAGAAATGATAAAATAAAGTAATAACAATTAAAAGAGAAAACAAAAATCAATATCTGACTGCGCTGTCCAAACTTACCATGTTTCGGGAATAATTATGTTCTTCAAATTAAAAGTAAAATTGAGTCGCCCAGTGGCTGAAGTTGACGCGATGATCAATTCCTGCTTAATGAAGATAAGCTCGCGGCGATTCCTGTTTAAGCTTATGCAATATCAACCTGCTGTATACATCACGTAGTTATAGCAACCTACATGCGTCGGCGAGTTTCGACTTTGTTTTATCACGTAGTTAACCTGTTCATTTTTAAAAATAACATTTTGCATTGTGAAAATATGCTGTCCCAACTTGCAGTTGGAATTTAACTTGATGATTGATCGAAGGGCGCTGGATGTCAATAGCAACACAAATAGCATCGCGATATCGCATCCTCATCTTCTTAAAATCAAACAAACCGACGGAACGGCTGTATCTTAGCAACAGGAAACAAAACCTGCAGAACATGCAATCAATAAACTCGAACTATTTAACAAATAGAACAGTTAATATACAAATATCAATTGAACAGGAGCCTCTTAAATTAATCGATTAATAATCGATTTACTGGCCTCGGTTGACTGATCATATCAAATAATTATTAAGTGATTCGTCGTCTGAAATTCACGTTGAAAAAATTAGCTAATTATGTCTACTCTTTTCTGGAACACTTCGTGTCACTTCAGATGCTCACTGTTAATAAATTTAATGGCTTCACATAGTTAACAAAATCAATATCTTCATACAGTTAATTTGTAATGGTCTCGTGCAGTAACATTTAATGGCTTTCTAGAACACTCCATGTCACTTTAAATTTAATGAATTTTATGGCTTCAAATAGTTAACAAAATTAATTGCTTCACGCATTTGAAGTTCCAGTTTAAAAATATATTGGCTTCACAAAATTAACAAAACTTAATGGTTCGCATATTTAACAAAGGCCAGTTGACATATTTAATGGATTCAGAAAATTAATGGCGTCTTACAGTTAACAAATTTAATGGTTCGCACAATTAAAAACGGCTAGTTGACAAAAAATAATGACTTCACAAAGTTAAAAAAAATTAATGGCGTAACACAGTTAATAAATTAATGATTCGCACATTTTAAAACGGCTAGTTGACATAAGTAATGGTTTCACAAATTTAATGGCATCGCACAGTTAACAATTTAATAGTTCGCGCATTTAAAAACGGCTAGTTGACTTAATTAATGGCTCCACAAAATTAATGGCGTCACACAATTAATAATTTAATGGCTCACACATTTAAAAACGGCTAGTAAACTTAATTAATGGCTTCATTCAATTAACAAATCCAGTGAACAAATGGGATTTAACGTGCGACATTTCATCACCAACCGGGTTAATGAAGACGGACATGTGTCATGCATTGTATTATCCGGAATATATTGCCCGCCTACTGTCAAGGTTTTGTTTTTTACTATCTCAACGATTACATGCGATCCTTGTCAGCCCCAGCCCCACAACGGGTCCTGTACCTTTAACATATCAAACCCACGGCGGCGATCCCAGGGAACTTTATCGCCCAGCAGGGGATCGAACCCCGATATGCTGACTAGTGAACAGGCGCCTGACTCGCTGAGAAAAGATGAGATGTAGCAGTAATCTTGATTTTAACATCAAATATTCCGTGAACGCTTGAAATATATAAAAGCGCACTAAAAGCTCAGCTAAATACGGTGTGCTCTTATGTAACGTGTGTGCGGACCTTGGCCCTACGGCCTACTCTTGGTTCAAGTTCCAACTGTCAAGGGTTCTTTTGCGTGCATGCTAACGTGTGTACGGGACCTCGTTTTTTCCCATCCAAATGACTAGCCGCTGTCCGTCGCTAGGCTCTCCGGTGTCATTGGTGTTCGGTTTTGTACCGAAATAAAATGGTGTGTAACGCTTCTGTGCTGACTGGGTTCTAGAATACGTGCCATGCCGTGTGCATTGGGGGCAATTTTGCCTGACAGCGGCTCTATGTCCTCTTATATCGAATTCCAAATGTAAACGGGATATCGGATTTCCGTTTCCATACCATTCGAACGATTAGACACTATCCTTGTCCCCACCCACCCCCTTTTGGCACCACGTTTTTGCCCGGACAGCGACGCTGTTGCCTTCTCTTACATCGACTTCCAAATGTCAGTTTTTGTTACGCTATTGTGTACGTGGGACTTCGGTTTTTCGTTTTCGTCCTATCTGAACGACTAGATACTGTCTTTGTCAGATTCCTATCTTACACAACAGTATCTGTTCCCTGATACCCTTTTATCCAATCGAAAATCAATATTATTTGCAAAAAGAAAAGAGAAGAGTTGTTTTACGTGCACAACAACGTGTACCTGTTTGTACCTGTTTAAATTTTAAACGTGTTTAAAATGTCATCGTGATTCATTACCTGGAATCAATATATACCCGACGACAGCCATTCTTACAGAACAGAAGACAAATAATTAATGTAAAATATCATCTACTTGACGCCCTTAATGTCTGGTTGTCACTAAAACTTGTTGTATTGTATCGATTTCTAATAAACTCTTTGTTATAAATGAACCTTTACTTACCTTTCAGGGAGTGGATGGCCGAATGGTGTGCGCGTTGTGTCATAAGGTCTGTCATTTAGTCAACTGGCGTGGTTTCGATTCCCCGGGTGTACGTGACAAAGTGTACTGTTGCCTGTCCAACATCGTGGGTTTTCTTCGGGTCCTCTGGTTTCCTCCCACTGCTATAGACCCCTACGCGCAAAGCGAATTATTGAAATGAAATGAAACCATGTTAGTCCCGAAATGACCTAGTTTGTGTCAGGACGACGTTAAACCCCATTTCTCTCTCTCTCTTACCCTTCAGATCTGACACATCAGCCATCTTTAGTGATGTTATTTTATTTCTATTTTTATAATTTCATGGTGTATTACTTTATTCAAATGAACAAAAAGTATTTTTAAACTGCCAGGACAAGCCTGGAGTTTGTCACTAAAAAAACATGATTTCATTAATACCGTAGATCGCTTTTTTACTTGAATTAGTGGAGCCGTTGGTTTGGGGTTTTTTTTCAGATCAGAAAAAGAGCAGCATCAATATGAGTAGCGCTTGGAACCCACGTTCAAGCTACAAAAACAATTAAACATATAGAGCTTGTCCCCGTTACTAATGGCAATAACAGTACGGGTCAAACAGTCAAATAAATAGGTGAAAGAAGTATCAGGTTGTCCAGACTTCAACACGGATCAAGCACAGAACACGTTCCTGTGTTTGGTTTAGATTTCAGAAGCCTTGGCGTCTTGGTGGAGTTATCTTTATAAAGGCTTTGTCGCACTGGTGACAATTTATCTCCTAGTTTACAACATGTGCGGGGGAGGGGGGAGGGGGGTTGGGTGGTGGCCAAATGGTTAGCACGCGCGCGCTGTTTCATACAGTCTGTCATTGAGTCTACTGGTGTAGTTTCAATTCCCCGGTTGTATGTGAACAAGGAGTAGGGTCGCCTGTCCAACCTCGTGGGTTTTCTCCGGGTCCTCCGTTTTCCTCCCACTGCTAAAGACCCCTACGCGCAAGCGAATTATTGAATTAAAAATGAACCGTGTTTGTGTTAAACCCCATTTCTCTCTCCCTTTTCTACCTCTCTGAGAGAGAGAGCGCGCGGGAGAGAGAGAGATAGAGAGGGAGAGATTAACGTCCACTCGACACACACTAGGTCATTTCGGGACTAACAAGGTTAAATTTCAATCATTTGCTTGCGGGTAGGGGTCTTTAGCAGTGGGAGAAAACCAACGAGGTTAGACAGGTGACCACACTCTTTGTCACGTACAACCGGGGAATTGAAACCAGACCTTATGATATAACGTATATGTGCTAACCATTCGGCCATCAAACACCCCAGGCGTTAGGTAGAAATGAGTTTGTTTATTCATTTTAAATATATTAATGCATTCTCTCTCTGTCGGCATCAGCTGCGCGGATCTACCGGCCTGCACATTGTATGCTTCTCTTTTTAAGGGGGTGTTTTTGCGCCCCCACTCTCGTTTTCTAGAATATAGATTACTTATATTCTACTTGACTATATTATTCACAAACTGCTTGAGGCCACCTATCTTTTAAATACACGAACGGAATAGTCGCTTGTCAAACGGAATAATCAATGAAGCATCCCCATGCTATTGCATTTGTAATGTCTCGAGTGTTCTGGGTGACCAGTTATATCTCCATAATAACAACTTAAAACATCCATCCTTGAATACATCAAACAAAAACACAGCTATCATTTCATTCTGCGATTGTTGAGCATCATCTCAACTTCAGCATTAATTTTACCAATTCTTCTTGGCATCTAATTCCTCATCATGGTAAGTACTAGTCGTCATTTTTATTTAATAAGTAATGTACAAAGACAAGGAGCCGTGGTAGCTCAGCGAGTAAGACACTGACTCGCTAGTATGTGGATCTCAGCTATCTAGTCGTGGGGATGGGACGAAATACTAGGTCCAGTGTACACACTGACGTACACGTAAAAGAACCCTTGACAGTTAGAAATTGAAATAAGAGTAGGCCATAGCACCGCTGGCCGGACAAAATGTCCCTCATATCACACTGTATGACGCATGTCCGTCCACACTGATCAGCAGTGAATATTCTCTAGGCCGCTACAATCACTGATAAGGATGACATCAATGCGACTTAATGAGTCTCAAATATTAACTTTTTTCCACCAACAAATTAAATTCTAAAACATTTTTTGATGTATTAGAAAAATAAATAAAGACGTTTGACGTATTTGTAGGTAAAATTTATTTCCTATTTAGTGTAAATGGGTATTAAAATGACTAAAAGGCAGCATTCTGCCCGAAGCAGTAACGTCTTATGTAAACCATGCACGCGCCATTCAGCCAATGATTGACGCCGCTTGGTGTGACGGCACGTGTTAAAGGCAGTCATCTTTTACAGAGATATTTCGTAATTAATTCTCTGTCAAACAGATTGATGCCCGTCTTCAGAAGCCCAGTTGGAGCAGTAAAGTATGACGTTAAACCCCATTTCATTTCATTTACAAAGACAAATGAGCTTTTTCGTGGGTATTAGGCGTGGGACTTTCTCGGTCCACCCGGGGATCTCATAGTTAGTGAGCCAATGAAGTCACGTCACGGCATGTCTTTTAAAATAAAACTCCATAACAAACTTAGTCAATAACAGCTTTGGCAATTAATGATATTTTGTGGTTGAATTATTAATTATTGAATCCTATATCGATTATAAACAATACTCAACATCTTTTATTTGGTTCTGCATCAACTGAGTCATTGTCCACAACTTCTAGAGTAATTCCCACTTGAAACAAAATGTATATAAAGTGTCAGGGTCGGTAAATATTTACAAAACAGTTAATGTACTTGACCGATGATTTATTTAAACGCGCAAACAATACATAACATGAAATGAAAAAATAACTAATAATATGCATTAGACTCGTTGCAACGCTTTTACTTTGCAGAAAGCAGATGATTCAACCTGCTGGATCTTCTCCTCGTCGTTAGTATCGTCAGAGATGCTATCTAATTCGTATTCTTCTGCTGCTATCAGCTAATTTTATTAGTTTCTGACTTTTGTTTATCTTGGTGTTCAGCGATCGAACCTTCAAAATGATCCTGCAGTAACCTTGGTTTTATATAGTTTCCAGGCAACTTTATCGTTGGCCTTGTGGAATGCTCAGTTGTTCAATACGGTCTTCTTGTGAATCGACGAGATTACGTTGGTTATCGCTTATTTGTTTCTGGAAAGGATTCAAATGTATCTAACATTTTCAGCTATACGTTGAAAAAAATAGATGTATATACACCAAAATTACACTGGGTTAATTTCGATACACGTTAAATAAGAAGATCATCATCTATTACTTGTGCAGGACTAGGTTATTTGCTACGTGACGTTTGTACAACCAGAAAGTCCCGGATTTGATCCTTGGCGTATTCCAAAACTAGTCTTCCCTTGTCATAAAATGAATACACTAAATACTTTCCGTAAAAATTTGCCCAGACAGCGCCGTTGCCGCTAACACTTATTTCAAAGTCCAGAAGTAAAGGGTTGTTTTACGAGCAAGCCAATATGTACATAAAACCGCTCCGGGATATCAAACAACACAGGTATCGAACACCTGCGATCACGTGACGTTGGATTTGTTTATGCAATTGACATAGTAAAATCGTTTTCCTTTCAGCGTGAATGTATCAATATCCATGTGGGCCAGGCCGGATGTCAGATGGGCAATGCATGTTGGGAGTTGTACTGTTTAGAACATGGTATCCAGCCTGATGGTCAGATGCCATCAGATAAAACTATTGGAGGTGGAGACGATTCCTTCAATACTTTCTTCAGTGAAACAGGAGCTGGTAAACATGTTCCTAGAGCTATCTTTGCAGATCTCGAATCTAGTGTTGTCGGTAAGTTCCTAGTCTTGTCATTCTACAGGCGATCTGAAGAACCAATCATTAAATATGAATTCTAGATGATTGAGCTGCCATTGCCGTGTATAATTAGCAATTTTATATTCGTATAGTTAATCCGATGCAGTGGTTATATAAGTCCGCGTGATGATATTTGGATCTGTGTAGGTCCCGAAATAACCTAGGTCCTGCCGAATGGACATTAACATCCCAAGTGGTGTGGTTTCGATACCAAACTTGAACGTGACATCCTTGTGAGTTTCCTCCGGATCTTCCCACTGCTACAAATCCCTACGCGCACATTCAAATATAAATAAACCATATGTTAGTATCGAATTGATCTACTCTCTCTCTCTCTCTCTCTCTCTCTCTCTCTCTGATGTTGGTGATGTCCCGAAGTGCCGCATATTCAGTCACTGGGTTCATTATTTATAAGTATTACAGATAAAATGCCCCGGGTTGATCAAGAAAAAACAAGCCTACCAGACAAAACACGGGCACTATAAGCCATATTCTATTTCAGATGAGGTACGAACTGGTACATACCGTCAACTGTTCCACCCTGAACAACTCATCACTGGTAAAGAAGATGCCGCCAACAATTACGCTCGAGGACACTACACCGTCGGTAAAGAAGCCATCGACCTGGTTCTGGACAAAATCAGGAAATTGACAGAGCAGTGTACTGGTCTCCAGGGGTTCCTCATCTTTCATAGCTTCGGTGGAGGAACTGGTTCTGGTTTTACATCTCTGCTTTTGGAGCGCTTGAGCTTAGATTATGGCAAAAAATCGAAATTGGAATTCGCCATCTATCCAGCTCCTCAAATATCCACTGCTGTGGTTGAACCTTACAACGCTATCCTCACCACACATACGACACTGGAACATACAGATGTCGCTTTCATGGTGGATAACGAAGCTATTTACGACATCTGCCGACGTAACCTTGACGTTGGTAGACCAACTTACACCAACCTCAACAGAATCATCGCACAGGTTGTAAGTTCTATCACAGCTTCTCTCCGATTTGATGGCGCCCTGAATATTGATTTAACAGAATTCCAGACCAACTTGGTGCCTTATCCTCGGATACATTTCCCACTTGCTACGTATGCACCTGTTATATCTGCTGAGAAGGCATACCATGAACAACTAAGTGTTGCAGAACTCACAAACGCATGTTTCGAACCAGCAAACTCGATGGTCAAATGTGATCCTCGACATGGAAAGTACATGGCTTGTTGTATGTTGTATCGCGGAGACGTTGTACCTAAAGATGTCAATTCTGCCATTGCTACCATTAAAACCAAGAGAACCATCCAGTTTGTGGACTGGTGTCCAACTGGTTTTAAAGTGGGTATCAACTACCAACCACCAACTGTTGTACCAGGAGGTGATTTAGCCAAGGTCCAGAGAGCTGTTTGTATGTTGAGCAACACCACAGCGATTGCTGAAGCCTGGGCTCGTCTAGATCATAAATTTGATCTGATGTATGCTAAGAGAGCTTTCGTTCACTGGTATGTTGGTGAAGGCATGGAGGAAGGTGAATTCTCTGAGGCTAGAGAAGATTTAGCTGCTTTGGAAAAGGATTATGAAGAAGTTGGTGCTGAAGGAGGTGACGATGATGGGGGAGAAGGAGAAAATGAATATTAAGCTAAGAGTCGTTTCGGGTTGTCGAAAGCAGAAGACGAATATTAATTTTTGAAATTTAAATTTTCTTAATATTGAAGTTTTATGAGTTATCCCAAGTTCCATCTTTAAATATCCGACTCCGTTTGAACATTTTAACCAATCTTTCTTGTTTTTATTTTATATTTTTAAGAATCAAAACTAATTTAAAAGTAATAAACGTCAATCATGCTAACAGGGATTTCATAATCGTGTTTGTTAAATTTTTATTTTTTTATAATAGAAGAAAGTACTTTGTTGGACAGTTAGCCTCGACTATACTAGATAGTCCGGGAGCCCAGTGAGGTTTAATCAAAATATTGAGTCCAAAAGGTTTGAGGTCTACAACACATATTTTACCCCTAGATCATTTTGGAAAGGCAAGTCTTAAGTTTTGTAACCTGTGCATATACCTGGGAGCGCTCCCTCTAACCCTCCCAAATTTATTGGGAGTTAAAATTCAATGTCCATCCACAATTTTCTGGCAAACTTTTCATACTTAACACAAAGAAACAGAATTCATGAGTTAAGAGCATAACTCTTAACTCATTGCTTCTATTTTATGTAATGGAAACTGGACATCAAAGTACTACCCGGGAGCCCAGTGAGGTTTAATCAAAATATTGAGTCCAAAAGGTTTGAGATCTACAACACATATTTTACCCCTAGATCATTTTGGAAAGGCAAGTCTCTAGTTTTGTAACCTGTGCATATATCTGGGAGGGCTCCCCCTAACCCTCCCAAATTTATTGGGAGTTAAAATTCAATGTCCATCCACAATTTTCTTGCAAACGTTTCATACTTAACACTAAGAAACAAAATGCATGACTTAAGAGCATAAAATGTTGTGCTAATGCTACTTAAGAACTTAATTAATTGGCACTTATTAGTGACCGTAATTAAAATTTAGAGTCCATAGCTGAAACAAAGCCTAAAAGCTAGCTAACCAAGTCAGGAAACCAAAACTATCACTTAAGAGCGACAAAAGTTGAACAAACCTTGCTTAAGAGTGGTTCAAAGGCGACAAAGGTCAAAGGTCACTAATTAGTGACCGTAATTAAAATTTAGAGTCCATAACTGAAACAAAGCCTAAAAGCTAGCTATCCAAGTCATGAAACCAAAAATATCACTTCAGAGCGACAAAAGTTGAACAAACCTTGCTTAAGAGTGGCTCAAAGGCGACAAAGGTCAAAGGTCACTAATTAGTTACTGTAATTATAATTTAGAGTCCATGATTGAAACAAAGTCTAAAAGCTAGCTAACCAAGTCAGGAAACCAAACATATCACTTAAGAGCGACAAAGGTTGAACAAACCTTGCTTAAGAGTGGTTCAAAGGGCAAGGTAACATTTGGGGTCACAACTCACATAATGACGTTTGAGTGGATTTGATTAAATTGTCTTGTCCCGATTGTTTTTCTTTCTAACACCATTTCTATGAGTTTCACTGCACAAAATGACTACTTAGGAGCATAAAATGCTGTACTAATGTTACTTTAGAGCTAATTAATTAGCACTCATTTGTGACCATAATTAAAATTTAGACTCCATAGCTGAAACAAAGCCTAAGAGCTAGCTAAGCAAGTCAGGAAGCCAAAAACATCACTTAAGAGCGACAAAAGTTGAACAAACTTGGCTTAAAAATGGTGACAGAGGTCATATTTTGGGCCATATTATGACCAATCAACAAGTTAAATTGCTTATATCTGCTTGCCCTAAAGAGACGATGAAAAACTATGCGACGAATTATGCATTCCTTATAGTAAATGAAAAGCAAAAACTGTAAGGTTTTTCCAATTATTCTAAATATTGGGAATGGAAGTATAGAACTGGATAATTCTTTTGTTTTAAAAAACGCAGACAATTAAATAATAAATTAGTCCATATAAAGATATATATGATTCGAAACATTTATGTGTTCTCCTTAACATGGCTATTTACGGGAATAGAGTCGAAATCGGAAGGTTGTTTTCGGTATAATGCTATCAAGACTGGCTTATACTGTTTACTTACTAGATTTTTGTGCTAGATAAGATAAGATAATACATGTATGTTAAATGCACCAAAACGTCCATTTAAGACAACATGCATACATATATATTTAGACATAGTCGTATATATTTAATAATACATATAACATAGAAAACACATACATGTACACACAAGTAATACATTCATACAGACATGCGATACTGTTTTTGGCTGACAATCTTGTTTCATCAATTTTCATTCTATATATTATGGTTTATCGCTCCTAAATATTTCTAATTGTAAATTAGATTTACTGTGGAGTGAGGCACAGATTTCGGAATGTGGTGCTGTTTTGGAGATTTCAACACCAGAGATGCTTCTCAAAGGAGGCATACAATTCCTGCGCCCGACACATGACAAGTAGTTTAGAGCTGTCTATGTGATTAATTACAAAATAATATTTGTATTGTCATCATTGTATTCCATACATTTCTGTTTCCTCATTAACTGTATGCCATGTATCTGTTCGTAACAATATTATATTGTTAACGATTGTAAATATGGATCTGGTACTGTCAAACTTCATGCAGGCTATAGTAACCTGTTATTGTTTCCCATAAAAACTGTGTTCTGTTAAATAAAAACTTGTTCGCAAACTTATTTTTATCTGAAAGCATGATGTGTTTAAGCACCCGCGCAATCCAAATTCAATATTCTAATTTATTCCACAATAAATATGTACTTTAATTTTAGCAGCGCACACACCTGAGACATTATCGAAAATGCGGAAATAATTTAAAATGGCTGTTTCACACACCCCACCCCCGTCAAAAACAGAACAAAACATACCGTATAGAATATACTATGGCAGGCGCAAATGACTTCCGTTTAATTTCGATTGTTCGCTTATTTCACCGAACATAATAAACATACATATTATGCAAGAGCTAAATATGTCAGTTGCAGGTATTTCATTAGTTATGTCATATAATTAATTAGACATTTATTAACATGACAAGACCATAATCAACCCTCGATGCCATCTGATGGGTCCGATTTTACACAAATTTAAATCTGATCTGCTGTTCGACAATGCATGGTGATTAACCGTAAAAATGGAGAGAGAGAGAAATGGGGTTTAACGTCCACTCAACACAAACTTCGTAAAAATGGATAAGCGAGACTTGTCTATTATCGTTGCAACAGTAACAATGACAACTGAGGCTACAGTGTTATTGAAATGAGTTTTTTCTCGGCTTAGAGTTAAGCAACTTTACTGAACTCTTCAGCATATTCTCTTTACATTATCTATTTTTTAACTGTTATAGTGAGAAGCGTCAGCTCTTTATCTATTCTTTCACGATGACGCTTAATAATTGATTAGAATTTACAATAAAACAAATTTAAAATTGGGCATATTACTTTACCACTGTTTGTCGTGTATTTTGTACACGAGGAGCAGTCTATTTGCTGATTACACTATTTTGCCTATAACGTTTTTAGGACTTCGAATTCTGTCTTATGGTTTGGATTGTTCGTACTTGGTTTTTATTTTATTTAGACTCATATTAATAATATGTGCTTTCCGATCCACTTTCGTCTATTCAAAAGAATAGAGCTAACCACCCTTTAAACAGTTCACTAACATTTCACTCACTGAACTATATCTGGAACTACTCCTTTAAATCGAATAATGCCTGAAAGGAAGTTTAGTCTCCTTCAATTTTACAATTCTTGGTTGTACTGATTATTGTCACACGTCTTTCGAAGAAAGCAGGTGACTTTTAAAATGGGCCTGCCCATCTGTCTGTCTGTTCGTCAAGCCTTTTGGGGCATAATAACTCTTCTTCTAATTGAATGTTCAAACTTGGTGTAGGTGTTGATTAGGTTAATGGCTTGATGGAGTTCGAAGATGAGCATTTTATGTTTAGGATCAACAGAGATAAGCAATTTGATTAGCTGAAATTGGTCATAATGTGGCCCAAAATATGGCCTTTGTCACTAGTCTTGAGCCAAGTTTGTTCAACTTTCGTCGCTCTTAAGTGATATTTTTGGCTTCCTGACTTGGTTGGCTAACTTTTAGGCTTTGTTTCAGCCATGGACTCAAAATTTTAATTATGGTCACAAATTAGTGCTAATTAATTAGCTCTTGGTAGCATTAGTGCAGCATTTTATGCTATGAAGCTGTCATTTTGTGCAGTGAAACTCATAGAAATGGTGTTAGAAAGAAAAACAATCGGGACAAGACAATTTAATCAAATCCACTCAAACGTCATTATGTGACCCACAATTTGACCTTTGACCTTTGTCACCGTTAAACCACTCTTAAGCAAGGTTTGTTCAACTTTTGTTGCTCTTAAGTGATATTTTTGGTTTCATGACTTGGTTAGCTAGCTTTTATCCTTTGTTTCAGTTATGGACTCTAAATTTTAATTACAGTCACTAATTAGTGACCTTTGACCTTTGTCGCCTTTGAACCACTCTTAAGCAAGGTTTGTTCAACTTTTGTCGCTCTTAAGTGATATTTTTGGTTTCCTGACTTGGTTAGCTAGCTTTTAGGCTTTGTTTCAGTTATGGACTCTAAATTTTAATTACTGTCACTAATTAGTGCTAATTAATTAAGTTCTTGAGTAGCATTAGCACAACATTTTATGCTCTTAAGTCATGCATTTTGTTTCTTAGTGTTAAGTATGAAACGTTTGCAAGAAAATTGTGGATGGACATTGGATTTTAACTCCCAATAAATTTGGGAGGGTTAGGGGGAGCCCTCCCAGATATATGCACAGGTTACAAAACTAGAGACTTGCCTTTCCAAAATGATCTAGGGGTAAAATATGTGTTGTAGATCTCAAACCTTTTGGACTCAATATTTTGATTAAACCTCACTGGGCTCCCGGGTAGTACTTTGATGTCCAGTTTCCATTACATAAAATAGAAGCAAGTGCTTGGTTGTCCAGTGATCCTCACGTGTGATAGAAAAAGATACTTGGTTGTCTAGTTATACTCAATAGAAATGAAATCAACTATAAGATCAAAGGAAATGAAATGAAATGGCGTTTAAAGTCCTACTGTTCTACTCCAACTTGGCTAATGAAGACGGGCATTACCATATATTGTGCTATGGGGGAAATCTTGCCCGGAAAGCGGCGCTACGACCTATTCTTATATAGAATTCCAATTTTCAAGGGATATTTTGCGTGCACGCCAATGTGTGTAATAGAAGAAGGTGCTTGGTTGTCTAGTTAGCTTCAATAGAAATGAAATGAAATGGGTTTAACGTCCTATTGTGCTATAAGGGACATTTTGCCAGGAAAGCGGCGCTACGACCTTATATTATATCGAATTCCAATTGTCAACGGATATTTTACGTGCACACCAATGTGTACACCGTAACTAGTTTTTTCGTAACATCCGAATGACTATTTCCTGCACCACTGGCTAGGGGATACTGCGCCGGAAAACCCGAAGAATTTTCTCTGCCAACACCGGAAGCGAACTTAAGACATTTTGGATAGCGAGCCAGCGTCATATTCACCGAGGCACCGCCACTCCGAAAAGAAGGGATACAACAGCTTCTTTTACCACTGTACTTCTACGCATGAAGTCACATCCTAAAGGTTACCCGCAAGATGACCTCCGTTGCATGTTTTTTTTATTGTTTTGGATCGTAAAAAATGCATTTAAATACAATTCGGACTAAAGTGTAATAAAGACAAACAAATTGTTAAACAAATCATATGTAATACATCTTGTCACCTTACACCCGGATATACTTCAAACACCTTTATTATTTTCTTTCTTAATACTATTGTTTAGGAATTCAAGTTACGGGAAATAAAAAGTTAATAACACGCCCCGATATCATTCCTATAAGTGATAGCAGCAGCCAAGCGAATAATTATTGTAAAAGACGTGCTACTAAATCACCCGTGAGCAACGGTGGCTCAATGAGTAAGGCGATGGCTCGCTATACAGGAATTCTAGCACAGTATCACTAGTGTTGGCCGCGAAAGTTCCCCGGGATTTTGCGGCGTGGTTTTCCCCTTGTTAGTGATGCAGGACGGACACATGGTCTGACAAGGAACAGTTTCCAGTCGTAGTCATTGATGTGGGTGTAGTACATGCGTGCAATGGGTCGCTGGTTAGATGTGGAAAGACAACAACAAAACTCGCCACCTCCAACGTGTGACGCATACTCTCTTCTGTTACATATTTTAATGCTTTGTGATCGTCTATCATTGTCTCTGGTTATATTTGTCATTCTCTTCTTTTGGCTAGGACTCACGTTGTGTATATTCTTCTTACTATCTCAGTAGTTAAGACATTTGTCTTACCAGGACTAACAATACAGCAGTCCGTTTCTACATTGTTATGTCAAACTGGATACATATGGTTACAATGCATAATAGATTACACTACAATGCTTAAAATTAACATGTCTTTTTCTCCTACCCCTGACTCGCAGATGAGTTTACTGGCTGCCACATCATATTGTTCTCCTACAAATCAATTGGATCTACTCATCCCAGCTGATGTCTCTTGAACCTCGGCGGTCTCTCCCGAATTTAGCGGTTGCCTCTAGGAACTGAGATGGTCATCTCTACGGAACTCGCATGGTATCTGATCGTAAAGACATGGTAGGGTCTCTTTTATAGGACCAATATTGACATTGGCCTTGAATTCTATCACGAACAGATCAGGCTTTTTAAAAACCTCGATCTGTGCAATTACTGATATGATTGGATGGTTACAGTGTATGATGCAATCAGTAAATTTCCAGTCACGTGTATTTTACACAATGAATTATCCTTGACTCCATAAAGTTTACATCAGTTATTTCCCCAAATATGTTTTGGTTGTATACATCTTCATATGTGTCAACTACTCACTCATTCATTTGAGTACATGAGATATGACTTCTCTACAATGTGTGAATCTGATAATTAATTAAAGATACTATATGATCGCAAAGACCATAGTATTACATGGGACGTAAAAAAAACGAGATCTCGTGTATATATTGTTCACGTAAAAGAACCCTTGACAGTTGTAATTCTAGCACAGGCCATATCAAACTGTAAGACCACACCAGGCGGGCTGTACATTTCATCATACTCGAAGGCGGGGGCGATTCGGGCAATGTATTTCCGTTTTTCGGGCACAAACAGAGAATGAGACGATATATCATAGAAATATAATTATACAAGTAAAATGAAATCGCTCTTAGTTTACGTTTTGAATACATAATACTTAAGACTCGCACAATAACGTTTGTGGAAAACTCGTTTTAGTTTAAGATTGATTCGTTCTGAAATATTCGGGGAAAATAGCATCAGCTCCCCCCCACCCCCACCCCCTCCAACGGAGATTGGCCGCCTACGCCTATGCACTTCATTTCAATTCACTAATGCCAACATCCCTACCAGTGTTAATGTTTAGAAACTAAAGCATTTGGATATTTTATGTGTATATCCGCATCGTATAAGTAACTTGAAATGCATCTCAGAGAGTACTAGCATATAGCTCATTTATATTTCAATAATCTGCTTGCGCGTAGGGATTTTTAGTAGTGGGAGGAAACCGGAGGATCGGATAGGCGATTTCACTCCTTGTCACGTACAAGTGCGGGAACGAAACCACGCCACTTGGCTTCATGATAAACCTTATGATCATTGCGTAAAACAAACCAGATGAAAGAACACAAAACATGAATGTAACACTATATAAATATTATCGCATGATGTCGTCGCTATGTAACAAGACATTTGTTGTTTGTAGAATTCAGAAATAATATTATTAATCTCAAATAATCTCAAAGTTCATACTTATTGATTGCAAATAAAACTTTATTTCTCTTTGGTTTCTAAGGTAGCAACACGCGCAATCATCACAGGCAAGGATGAGGCGTGTTGTTAAGTTGGCCGATTGAAGAGTGATGCTTCATCAAACACAGGAACAATGAAACATAAAGATACAAAATTGATTCGTTTATAAGTAAACATAAAAACTAGCGAAGCGTGCCCTTTCATGGTAAAGGTACTTGACAAAAATCAATAAGGCAAAACCATGACAACCTGACTGTTTGTGTTGTAAGCACATGTGACACGCGACGCGGCACCACACATAGATCTCGTTGATCATCACATCAACAACATCTCCCAAATTTCAATTTGAAATTGTTTGAGTTGACATAGATATTTGTATTATCTTCAAAATGGTAAGTTACTATTACTACTTATAGCTTAAAGGGGGTTGGCTGGCCGAATGATTTAACGCGCGTGCGTTAGATCATAAGGTCTGTCATTGAGTCAAGTGACGTGGTTTCGATTCCTGGCTTGTACATGACGAAGGGTCTCTCTCTCTCTCTCTCTCTCTCTCTCTCTCTCTCTCTCTTCTCCAGATGGAAGGAACTTATGTGTACCCTGTTTAATAAAAAAAGGTATAATCCAAAGTAATTTTAACATTTAATATGACTCAATGATACCTTTTCGTGTCCAACCCTGGCATCATCACGTGTAATCGTAAATACCTTTAGAATTTTAATATACATGTCTGTTTCCCTGTTTGGGGTTGGTGGCTACACTGGGGCTGCCCCGATGTTGACATTTGGGGCATAATGACAGCTCGAATGGGGTGGGGGGGTCTACATCGGAGTTATAATACGCCCGGTTCGGGGCTCTACCCGCACAACGCCCGATCAGCTACTCAGGAGCGTGTTCAGCGAGGGGGTTGGTCGTCTACAGGGGATACTGACCCATACTGACCCCTCGCTTTTCATGCAGAGAATATCTTGTTTCTGTTACACTCATCGAATAACAAACGTGCAATGCTAATCCAATACATGTTTGCACCTAAATGAGCAGAGATATTGTTTCAGAGTTATACCCAAGACCTCTCGCCAAACTGTATGCTGTTCCTTCCCGGTCCCTCCGCTGCTAAAATTCCTGAACACGCCCCAGCTACTTGTACTTTACTATTTATTACCATCTTTTCAGCGTGAGTGTCTCTCTATCCATGTGGGCCAGGCCGGATGTCAGATGGGCAATGCATGTTGGGAGTTGTACTGTTTAGAACATGGTATCCAGCCTGATGGTCAGATGCCATCAGACACTACAATCGGCTATGGTGACGATTCCTTCAATACTTTCTTCAGTGAAACAGGAGCTGGTAAACATGTACCCAGAGCCATCTTTGTAGACCTGGAACCAAATGTTGTTGGTAAGTATATTTCTGTCTTTCTTTCAGTAAATTCTCTACATGTCTGTGACGTTATGAAAACACTTTGCAATCATTTAAGGACGCCAGGCCCATACGTGGTAACTTTTTGTCTTGATAGTAGAGCTTGTATCACTAACTTTTGGCGCAATATATCCCGGTTGGAGCTGACGTGCCATAATACCACATTTCATTTAGTATCACTAACAAAGTCTTTTTTTATTTTACATTTGTAAGTTTAGGATTGCCTGGACTATGTCACCCCTAGCCAGGATCCAGTTAGGCCTAAGCCGCTCTTTCCAAAAACCGGTTAGGCCTATGGCGCCCTCCTATGGAACATATTAGGTCTTTTGGAAATGACTTGGGACTGTTTAGGTTAATATCTTCCTTTACCCAGAAACAGGGTAGGTATAGGCAAGACCTCCCCCACTCCCACGTACAGTTATGTTGCCCCTCCACGGCAAAGGTTAGGCGGTCTATGTTAGGCTGTACTCAAGAACAGATTGGTTATATGTCTCCCCAGAAACAGGTTAAGCCTATGTCACCCCATTCCCAAGGATATGTACAGTTGATCGTCATGTCGAATTATTAACGCGTGCGCTTTGCATCAAAACATCTGTCATTGAGTCAAGTGGCGTGGACTCGATTCCCCGCTTGTAGGTCGCCTATCCAACCGCGTGGGTTTTCTCCCACTGCTAAGACCCCTACGCACAAGCAAAATATTGAAATAAAATTGAACCATATGTTAGTCCCGATAATGATTAACCATAATTATTTATATATTTCCTGTGTCCAGATTAGTGGGGTGCTATTGCGCATTTAGCATGTCCAGAGATCATTGGGACCCATACGGAATAAAAAATTTTCGCCTTGATTAGCCCCAAAATTAGAGGAATATTATTATCCATAGATGGTGAGTTTCAGCCAAGTATCGCGGATTCGGCAGTGCCTTAGTGATTAAGGCGTTGCCTTGGGTGCAACCCCCGTGTTGTCCGTAAAGCGCCTGTCAGGGAACAGCGTTTAGATGTTCGGATGCGACGACAAACTAAGGTCCCGGGTACACGTTAGCGTGTAAGTAAAAGCCCCATTCGAAATAGAAGATGGACATGGCGCGGCTTTCTGGGCTTAATTTCCCTCACAATACACTGGTGTATCCCCGCCTTCATTAACTTCGGTTGGGGCATACACGTATGACGTTAATCCCTATTCCATCGCTATAACCCACGGGAATGAGCCGCCCAAACCAAATTAATATGCTAATGAGTCTCTGATCAAATTTACAACCATCAGTGGGAGGTGACTTGGTCACTCAAACAAATTCAAGATGCCAATCATTCTCTGAAAAAAAAATAACAGCAATCTTACTGATTTGATTTTATTTTAGATGAGGTACGAACTGGTACATATCGTCAACTGTTCCATCCAGAGCAACTCATCACTGGTAAAGAAGATGCCGCCAATAATTACGCTCGAGGTCATTACACCGTCGGTAAAGAAATCATTGATTTGGTCCTGGACAGAGTAAGGAAAATGGCTGATAATTGTACTGGCCTTCAAGGTTTCCTCATCTTCCATAGCTTCGGTGGAGGAACCGGTTCGGGTTTAACATCCCTACTTTTGGAGAGATTAAGTGTAGATTATGGCAAGAAATCTAAACTCGAATTCGCCATTTACCCAGCTCCCCAGATATCCACTGCCGTGGTTGAACCATACAACGCTATTCTCACCACACATACGACACTGGAACATACAGATGTCGCTTTCATGGTGGATAACGAAGCTATTTACGACATCTGTCGTCGTAATTTAGATATTGGGCGACCCACCTACACAAATCTCAATCGTTTGATTGGCCAGATTGTCAGCTCTATTACTGCTTCTCTCAGATTTGATGGCGCGCTGAATGTTGACTTAACTGAATTTCAGACCAATTTAGTACCATATCCTCGGATCCACTTCCCCCTTGCTACCTACGCACCAGTAATATCTGCTGAAAAGGCTTATCATGAGCAACTGACCGTTGCAGAAATAACCAACGCTTGTTTTGAACCTGCAAATCAGATGGTCAAATGCGATCCTCGTCATGGAAAGTACATGGCTTGTTGTATGTTGTACCGTGGGGACGTTGTACCTAAAGATGTTAATGCTTCCATTGCTGCAATTAAAACCAAGAGAACTATCCAGTTTGTGGACTGGTGTCCAACAGGTTTTAAAGTAGGTATCAACTACCAACCACCAACAGTTGTACCAGGAGGTGATTTAGCCAAGGTTCAGAGAGCAGTTTGCATGTTGAGCAACACCACAGCAATCGCTGAAGCCTGGGCTCGTCTAGATCATAAATTTGATCTAATGTATGCAAAGAGAGCCTTTGTCCACTGGTATGTTGGTGAAGGTATGGAAGAAGGTGAATTCTCTGAAGCTAGAGAAGATTTAGCTGCCCTTGAGAAAGATTATGAGGAAGTTGGGGTTGACGGAGGTGACGATGCTGGGGAAGAAGAAGATGAATATTAAAGTGTCTTAGGTGTAATGATTGTTAAATCCTTAAATCCTCTTCGTTCCGTCCATATTTCTTAAGATGTAGTTAAGGAGCACCTGTAAGGTTTTTAACTTTGTGTCCCGGTTAAACCAGTGTAACTGCTGATGTAATAATAGTGTTTGAACACAAAAAAAACAACTAACAGTAGAATAAAAGATCTTTGTTAATATAACATTTCAAATGGCAATATGATTGCCATATTTGGACTTCTATACCAAAATGAATACATAACTATTAGTTTCATAAATCTGTAATATCTCTCCCACAGATCAAACCAGTGACAAATTATAATCGAAATCCAAATACATTATCTAAAATGTAAAATGCATGATGATATGTGTTCTCGCTGCACCAATGAACTTCTTACCGAACTATGAGCTGCATCATTATGTAATATCTCTCTCACAGGTGAAACCAGTGACAAACTGTAATACAAATTCACTCGACAAGCCTTTATCACCATCTTTCCATCTTAACGTAGACTTCCATTTTCTGCATATGTTACGAAATAAAGATAACAATAAAATTTATGTGTCAATAAAATTTGTGTGTGAAAAATTTCTGTGTCTTCATGAACACGAAAGGTTCTGTTGCAAGTCACCAACCGCCATGTTCCATGCTATGTATTAAAGGGGAGCAAGATTCGTGCTATGCTGCAAGTCACGAAGCCACCATGGTGCACGCTATATATCAAAGCAGGGAAAGTTTCGTGCTATGGTGTAAGTCACCAAGCCACTATGGTCCATGCTATGTGTTTAACGGGGCGGAGGACACCATGGTTCATGCTCTGTCTCATCGTTGCATCGTCGCGTTGGGGGTTAGGGGCGGAGAAGGGGTGAGGGGCTAGTTGGATTAAAGCGATGATATCCCAACCATTTGATACATTAAAATCAGAGAAAGGGGTGGGTATTAAAGTCCACCCGACACCGTTTAGGTCATACTGTTGAGCTGTATTTCAATAATTTGCGTTCGTGTAAGGTTCTGTAGCAGTGGTTGTACCGGCGATCCTAAGCTAGGAATCGAAACCCAGCCATTTGACTCAATGACACGATGAAAATTCGCGTTCGTGTATGGTTCTGTAGCTGTGGTTGTACCGGCGATCCTAAGCTGGGAATCGAAACCCAGCCATTTGACCCAATGACAGACGATGAAAATTCGGTTTATCATTTTGGAAATGAAATGGATTTTAACGTCCTACTGTTCTGTTCTGACTGGGCTAATGAAGACGGGCATACGCCATACAGTGTGCTTGGAAAGGAATTATGCACCGGGCAGTCCTCTCTCGCATTTACCTGCGTTATTGCCGAATCCCGAATCTCGAATTACAAAATCTTGCCACTATCTTACTGGTGGTATGAAGTTTTCAATATGTTAATTGTTCTCTTAAGATTGTGTAAAATCAATTTATTGATTTAATTTCAAATGGACGACTGTTTAAATCCAAACTGTATCCAAGCCATCCGTGGGTCTACTTTGTACTTGTCGTGTAAATAAAGGTCTAATTAATATTTTCTATAACATCTGAAGCCCCAAAAAGACTTTCAATAGGTAGATTTAGCTCTTGGATAATGTATGTTTAAATATTAAAATTTGTATTTATTGATCACATATCTATATATGATTCTGGTTTCTATGGTAACAATACACACGGTGGTGTCGGGATGGAGATGCCGTGCGTTACTAGGTTGGATTAAATAACTACACTAAACGCTTATGTAAATAGACAACGAAAGGCCGTAACTAGGGCGGTCTACGGAGATAATGAGTCAGGGAATTTGAAAATTAAAGCTACGACTTATGCGAAGTATACCATGGCCTGTCATAACTGGATGATAAAGGTCCATCTGTAACTGGATCATACGGTATTTGTTAACAGCTACGTCCCTTACCAATTGGCGTGCACGTAAAAGATCCCTTGGCAGTTGGAATTCGATATAAGAGTAGGCCGTAGTGCCGCTGTCCGGGCAAAATTTCCCTCATAGCACACTGTATGGCGTATGCCCGTCTTCATTAGCCCAGGTTAGGAGCAGAACAGTAGGACGTTAAACCCCATTTCATTTCATTTCATTTCATTTACGTCCCTTACCAAGTATATAGAGTATTTGTTAACAGCTACGTCCTATGCCAAGTATATACTGGACACCCATAACGGTAACATTTCAATTATCGAGCTCTAACTGATCGACTCCAAAGAGTTTACACGGTGGTGATAATATCCCTTAACCCTTGTCGGTGCACGTGGGGATCTCCGTGAACCCCATGCACATGTTTTATGGTGTTTTGTAATGACTACTGGGCACTGCTTTCTGAAATTTAGTGACTTTGTCTCCTATATATTTTACACGTAGCGAAGAGATCGGTATTCATCTGCTTCCCACCAGCAGAGTTATGTCACTTGCAAATCAGGCCCAACGTTTGACGGGAACATGGGGTCTAATCGGACCCCTAGCTGATAACTCACAGTAGGGAATTTACTAATGTGTTTGCTGTCTGATACCATATTGCTTATGCCAGAGTATTCTCTCTTTTAGCATCTGCATATTACAAATACCAATAATAAAGTGATGAATTCCAAATATTCAATGGTTTTTGTATCAAGCGTGAATTCCCATTTAACCTCTTTATCACATAGTACACATAGTAACAATTTTGTGAGAATTATTGAATCTTTTCCATATGTTACTAAAATGTCTTTGGATAACAATTTAGTTGTTTTTCAGATGTCAAATATGAATGCAAAAAACCCAAACTGCTGTCTTTTAATTCAAATATATCTGTACGTAAAAAGTTTGAATTATAACTGGGGTCCATATGGACCCCTGATACCCGCTATGTGATTCTCACACCGTGCACCCACAAGGGTTAACTTACGCACTAAAGTAATTCCCGCAATATAAACAGTCCAACAGGTGGGCGAAGCGGTTAAATTATTATAAAAAAAAATGTGAAAGCCTAATTGAGAGGAGGAGAGAGGGAGAGAGAGAGAGAGTGGTTTAACGTCCACTCGAGACAACCTAGGTCATTTCGTGACTAACTCGTTGTTCAATTTTATTTGGATGATTTACCTGTGCGTACGGGTCTTTAAGAGCGTGGGTGGGGGCACGGGGAAAACCCGCGAGGTTGGACAGACGACACTATTCCTTGTCACGTACAAGCGGACAAGGAATAGGGTCGCCTGTCCAACCTGTCTTAATGATATTCAATAAAGTTAAAAGCATCCCAGAATTGTTCACACTTTCGATAATAATAATAATAATAATAATAATAATAATAAATGTCCACTTCTTAAGCGCCAAATCCATCCATAAGCATGCTCACCGCACTTTTAAGAGCAATAAACTATATACATGCCTGTTCAAAAATTTAGTCAACATAAGATTGTTTCAACAAGTAAGTTTTTAATTGCAGTCAGATAAATTTTTCTGCAGTTTTGGTACATCAGTACTAAGACTTTTATCTCCGAACTGTTTCCATTTTGATAATGGAATGCACAAAATGTTTTCAATGACGCCTGATAGCTTAAAGGCAACACAAAATATGTTTATTGGTTCAAATAAAGTAAAGAGAAAATTCAACGAAGCATGTCCTGTCACCTGACATATATTATTTTTAAAAAATCAATCAATAATAACCATGACAACCGTTTATTGTATATGCAGGTGATAAATACAGATGCCACGCGACACTGCATCACACAGAGATCTTGTTGGTCATCATATCGACATCATCTCTAAACGATTTTGTTTATCGTAAACTGTTGTGATTTAACCGAATATTTTATATTTTGATCATGGTAAGACACTATCTACTTATTTAATTTGAAATATATTAATAATATTATGTTTATATTTGTGACCGTTCCAAAAGACATGGCCACGAGAGAGAGAGAGAGAGAGAGAGAGAGAGAGAGAGAGAGAGAAATGGAGTTTAACGTCCACTCGACACAGACTAGGTCATTTCGGGACTAACATGGTTTTTAATTTTATTTCAATAATTCGCTTGCGCTTAGGGTTCTTTAGCAGTGGGAGGAAACCGGAGGACCCGGAGTAAACCCACGAGGTTGGAAAGATGGCCACGAAAATAATAACTTATGCTAGCTTTTAATCATGGAACGAAAAACTGAGGTCCCGTGTATACATTGGCCTGCACGTAAAATATCCCTTGGCAGTTGGAATTCGATATAAAAGTAACTAGGCCATAGTGCCGCTACCGGGGAAAAATATCCCTCATAGCACATGGTATGGTGTATGCCCGTCTTCATTAACCCAGTCGGAACAGAACAGTAGGATGTTAAACCCCATTTCATTTCAGTTCATTTAATCATGGAGTAATCGTGGTGATCATTGAGGTTAGCAATCATGTTAACGGTAACGAAGAGTATCCGAACGTATCTTCACACAGCAGATCGTGGACTCAATAGGGAATATCCTACTGTAACGCATCGCACGATAGTGGGAACCTACCACAACATCTTTTACTTGTTGTTGAAGAGACTTTATTCCGCCAACCTATACGACTGAACAGCGATGTTGTTTACTGTGTGTTTACCGGCCTACTCCTATCAACTCAACTGACACCCTCTCTCCCTCTCTCACATGCTGGAAAGGGTTAATATTAATAGCTATGAGTAAGAAAACAGGTGTTATTAAAGGGACATTCTATCCACTCTCTCCCACACATTTATAAGAGAATATTTCCCAGTGGAAAGTGCGCTCGCCTCGTAATTTCAGCGTGGTTTCCTTTTGTCAGTGGTGCGAAATGGAGGGCTTGGCAAGGAATTGCGTCTTTTTGTCTGTAAGACACTATATGCCTTTTAAATTCAAATCTATTAAGATTATATATTCATATTTACGTGTAGTTAAAACAGAATATTTGACATATTCTTGTGGGGACCATTGCGGCCCTCTGGGTAAGATACTCGCTCACCTTCCGGGTTCAGTGTGGTTTCCCCTTGCCAGGGGTACAGGACATGCGGCTTGGAAAGGCACTATGGAAAACCAAACAGCTCTTTATTCAGTTTTCTTAATTCATAGTCCTTTAATTCGTATTTTTTTTGTTCCGTTGTCATATTTCGACATTTGTATACTAAGATTAACATTTGTATCTCAAAATGAACATTTGTATCTCAAAATGAACATTTGTATCTCAAAATGAACATTTGTATCTCAAAATGAACATTTCCTTTACAAATCAAATATTTGTCGCATCAGATTTGTATACTGTATCTTTTTTTAATTTAATTGTATTTTAATATAATAATAAAAGTGCTTTTAGAAAATCAAAAAAAGTACATACACCTTTTATCAGAAACATACAACGAAAAGCAAAATTCGAACAACAAATTTCAAAATACAAATCTCCTTATACCGATCTTGTAAAACCAATGTCAAAAAACATTTATCCAAATTCATCTTACAGAGGACACTAGTAGTGGGCTGTGGAATGGCTCTACCTACCGATAAAAAAGTAGCCGCGCTATACGGTTCTTTGATAATATACATTCTACCTTGTAAATTAATGCTTATATAATACTTATTATACTC